CATGACATTCAGCTGGAGAATAATACCAGAAGAGAGGGTTGCGAGGAGGTAGGAGAGGAGAGGGTATGGGGGGACAATGCGATGGACGTGATTGTGGACTCACCTGAAATTGAAGTAGTTGTAGCGTGGGTACCTGCCATTTTCAAAGTCACGACTGAGGGTTACCAACATCAAAGGGTACATGGCGGAACGCACAAGTTGGCGCTTGTCGTTCAGCTCCAAACGATTGATTCCTGAAGTAAGGTGCTGGCAAGTAACAAACATGTGGGGCCGGCAGGCACATTATGATGGAAAAAAAATGAACATTTAATTGTGGTTGCCTGATAGGAATCAGGTTCACTGCCGCTAAACACGTAACATTCAAGGGAAAGGGGAGTGCTGTCTGTCACAGTGTGTAGTCGCGCAAACAATAACTCGGCCCTGTATAGTGACTTATAAATGCGCAAAACACGATGGCAGACTGGCCGTGCAAATTCGCGTCAAACAATCCCCCCTTCAAAAACCGTTCCTGCTTTGGCTCTCCAATAGCCCAAATTCGAAAAACCAGATAAAAACTGTCTGAGTAAATATACTTTGTGTATTGGTAGCTAGTTTACGACTACGTGGAATTTAAATTAAGCGAATAATGCAGAATTTGGCAGTTGTTGATGAACGTTCGCCGATCGCCAACGAAACTCACTCGTCCCACTTTGCCTTGGAGCTAACTCTCGAGCCCCACCAGCCGCCGCACAGCGGCTAGTAGTCTAGATAGATAGTATTACCGACAAAGACAAGAGCGACTGGAATGGCCACTCCTGGCCTATGAGCTGTCGGCTAATGATCGGTGAACGTTCATCAACGACTGCCAATATCACGCGACCTAAACTGGCTTGACGAGCCCGTGGTTTAATAGTTAGTGTTAGACTTCTGATCAAGATGTTTACTGGTTCGAACCTCCGGTTGGAAACCACTTCGGTTTGGATATGGCCGGCTGATGATGGCTAATGAGCCAGAAAGGGTCAGTCCAATCTCCCTTGCATTTGCCGTCAATGATAAATGCAGAATTTATTGTATCCCAAAATTGTGCGATTGTTCATCAGCTGAAACCTGTCACTGCCTACTATCAATAGCGAATGAGAGAATATAAAATAATTTGAATTCGTACAAAGGGCCAATGTAACATAGCAAGGTCATGGCATATTGCCGAAACTGATAAAATAGCGGACTATTTAGCAGAAATGCATGTTTTCTATGCACCATCTTTTGAACGCGAACTTCAAGGACGACTGCATTTGTCGCTGGGAGTCACACTTAATCAGATATAATCGCATATATGCAACCCTGGTAAATAAACAAACATGATAGGCAATATGTAAATAATGAGAGCTAGGGAAAACTGTTACCGCAAGGATGATAAATCAAACGCCAGAATTATGCGGGCTGGGTGGATTCATTTTCCGTGCCAAGTAGTGTGGCTAGCTGACCTAATTAATCTCGTTACTCGTAGGAATACTGAATGAGTTCATAGTGCCTAGTGAACAAATCTCCATATCAGTCACCTTGTGAGCAGAAAGAAGAAATCTATCAACCATATGCCTTGAAAAAAAAATACACCAGCTTCAATGGGATGCATCATCTCATGGATCAAGAATTTCCTGGGGCACGAAGCGCTTCTGTCAGTCCTCGAATCTTTTCATTAACAGCTGACACTCTGGGTATTGACTGATTAGTGGAGTGTGCTAGTGCACCTGACCGATAAATTGTATAGCAGTAGAGGCTAGGCTTTTGCATAGGCGAATCAAAATAAATAGCTTGACACAAAGTGATCAGACTTATGCGGAGGTAATTAAATACGGCCAATTACTAGTCTCAGAGTTTCGCCAGTCACAGCCAGGACTACAGGCACTGCAGTGCCCTGGGCATGAATTAGTTTATCCTGAGGATACATATGCTACGTAGTTCTCAGTCTATCATCCCACGTCCACTATATCTAAATCGAAAATAAACGAACAAGACAAAGATGGGCTTACGTTCAACAACTGACCTGGCTGAAATACCGGCTGCTTCCGCTAGGCGACATGGTATCTACATGTCTGCGAAAGACTTAAAAAGAAAATGATGGTGCCACTACTGTTAATGGTACAACTTCTACCTTTAAATCTAATATTACTATTAGGCGATTTAATAGCGCAACTAATAAGAGTATCACTATCCCCTTTTAGGTGCTTATTCCCAGGTGTTTTGTCCAAGATGACACCCTTTTTCAAACAGTGCCAAATTTATAATTTATTTTAAAAAATAGTATAATTTAGGTGGGGATAATAATTGAGATCTTTCTACACCAAGTCTCTATTTTTGTGTTGTTACAAGTTGCGGGGAAACTATGTAAACCCATAGAAAATCTCCAGGAGTTATTGGCCTGAATGCGATGCAGACATTTCGTACAAAGCATGGTAACAATAATCTTGGTCCTACAACCATTACTGTTAACAAAATTTCTAGCTTTATTACTATCACTAATACTATTACCAGTAGTTCGACTAATAATTCTGATGGTTCTAGTCCCTATGCACTACTGTGGTTAATACTACTGGTAATACTAATATCAGAGCTGTAATTACTACTATTGGTAGATGTAATACTACAACTATTACGCGTTTTCATTATATTATCCTTCCTGGTCAAGATGAGTGGTAGCGCCAAGGGCGCCCGAATGGGTCGTGCGAAGGCAGATGAAAACAGTCGTCACCGTGTCATGAGGGATGGGACCCAGAACTCCTAATTTAGTGTTATTTCGCCAAAACCGATGAACTTTAAGCGTACTGGCCTGGAAGTGCAAACTATGCACCAAGTTATTTTTCTTCCGGTTATAAAATAAGAGGTCAAAAGACAATTTTCATCATACCGGGAATTATTTTTGTGAAGTTGACCACCATTTTGGAGTGCATTTCAAAAGCCTTCATCATATTCTCCCAAACGACTTCGGTTGAATCAGCGTCACTGAAGCGAGGATCCAGGTCGTATTGATGACGATTCATTCGCTGAATATGCAGAAGTGAGGAGCAAGTTAGATCAGACAAAAATCTACGGTGATGGTGCCTTACG